AGCCAAAAAAGCCACGAAGCCAGGAAGCGGAGAAGCCGAAAAGCCAAGTAGCCGGGAACCAGCTACGACAGCCAGATGATAGTTATTTCTTACAAAAGAAAAAAGAGAAAATTACGGTTCCCTATTAAAATATAGAGAAAATTGAGGTTTTTTCTTTGAAATTAAAACAAAATCCAGATTTTCCTATGAAAATACAGAAAATTTAGGTTTCCGACGAAAATATAGAAAATGTGCAAAAACTAGAAAAATGCAGGTTTACTTCTTAAAATTGAAAAAAATGGAGTATTTCCTAGTAAAATACAAAACTAAGCCCCAAACCCTAAAAAAAAAGAATTCCCAAAAAAAGAAAAAAAGAATTCCCAAAACAATTCCTGGCCCTTTCCTTCTTTGGGAGAGTCTGTAGTTACCTCAAAGCCGACCTTGCACATGCTCAATGTGTGGGCGGTTCATGGCTTTGGTCGAGACTTGGTCGAACATGAACGCGTTCAGCTTGCACCCGCAAGAGGTGCTGATGGTGAAAAATCAAGCTTCCGATTGTTTTTGTAAGTCCTTCTGTGTGCACGTAGATTACTGTGCAATAGAACTCCGCTTCGCGGGTCAGGCACCAGTGAACGAGGATGCGGTGGAGGCAGGCTTGGATCAAGAGTCGGTTGGTTCCGCGAGAAGCCGGATTTGGGTTCACCGGTTGCCCTTCACGTATCGAGGTTCTGGCGTACGCCAGCGAGCTTGTGGTGGCTACAGGGCAGAGGCTGCGAGAGGTGACGAGGGTTTGCAGGGCTTGAGCGGGGCCAAATCGGACACGATTTGGTGTTGCTTTGGAGCTGTGTGGATGAATACGATTCTTCGTGGTCTGGCTCATAACATTTGGACGTGTGGACAAAGCAAACTAAAGATGTTGATCCGGAAAGAGAAGTAATGACATTGATAAGGGTTGCGCACAAGCAGCGCTCCGTCATGGGGCATGAGACGTGCACATAACAGCGTGAACTCGTGAAGATAGCAGCTCGTAGCCAGTTGTACCAACTGCCAAAACTACAGCTGGAACCGGTCGCATGGACGCCGCGGTTGAAGAATGATCCGATACACGGAGTCTCGGCGCGATGCCTTGTGAAGAACATCTTCGAGATTATAAGATGCGGGCATCTAATTTAGTTCTTTGTCATTTACACTGGAAGCTTCAGTTGCATGGTGATGTCCACTTTTTGGTGGGTGGTTGGCCTGTTGGACTGTTTGCATTCATCATGCGGACATCTTCATCCAAGGAAGGAGTTCACCTGCTCTTCAAGCTGAAGGGCTCCGTCATTCCTGCAGAATATCGGCTGCAGAATGATTGACAGTGGCATCCTGCCCATGCAATGCTTGCAAACCTGCTTCCGTCCTGCCTGAGCAGAATTCTGTGAACGTCTGACTGAGGCATTGTTCGTAGGGATAGCATCAATCACCCACTTTTGAAGCAGAAAGTGTTCGTATTGTTTGGCTTGGGTCGTACGAAAAAAGCATGTCATCAAGCGGTGTTTCTTGCTTTCGAAGACCCATGTTCAGGTATCCCTGTGTAGCTCGGTTTGGATCGACTTTCCGGTGGTGGAGCTGCTGAAGCTGTAGGTTTCTTTCTCATTGACAGAAAGTCTCTAGACCACTGAGGGGAATGTTTCTGTGTTTATGCGCGCGGGATTTGCGAAGCATCTAATTTTTTGCGGTGCGGGAACCTAGAGCTTTCAGAATGATTGCATGTGTTGTAGACGTGTCCAGCATCATCGACCGGAGTGTCTCAAGAACCAATAGTAAAGCTGCTTTTGGCATGCTCATGAATTCTCAAGCTCGGCAGTGCATTATCATGTCCAGAGTTTTTTCAATCGCACAGACGTCTGATTCTTCTGATTTTTCCTCCGAAGCACCTTCGTCCTCGGCTGGTACAGCCGCCCTCTTTCCGAAAAGGCCATTGCTTGCATGCTTCCAGAACACATGCATTTTGCCTGCTGAGTTCCACAGCCAGAGAAGATCCTTTTGATTGATTACTGGGTGGAGTCTCATCGATCCGGAACCGGAAACAAGACTCTGCGTTGATGGTGAGTGCGTTGATGTCTACCGGTCGAGCCTGATTGTTCCATACGAGGTTACCGGTTAGCACATGTCACTCTGTCAGCCAAGCCGCTGCACTGTGTAAAGCCGGGCTTTGTCGCCCTGGAAGCAGGTCCTCTACAGCCTAGAACATCAGTTGAGGATCTCACCGTGAAGGAATATCTCTCTGCATCTGCAGGATCCTTGTGTAGTTCCTTAGGTTTTGATTCTTTCCGTTGCTCAAACTCCTGCGATGCCGAGGCGGTGCTTTTTTCGCTGCCCTCGGTCATCCTAGCGATTCTGTTGATCGTCTTTCAGCAGAATGCCGAAGATGAGTTCACCGCGATAAACACCACGGTGAAGCCCTGAGGGAGCTTGCGCGCTAGGGCCACAGCTGTGCCTGCGAAGTCTCTGTTCCCAGGGCGACCTGAGCAAGAGCCAGGCCTTGTTGAGAGAGGGTTTGCTCTGGGGGAGGAAGAGGAGCGTCTGGTTTCGTCTGAGATAAAGGCAAGGGGCAGTATGAAATGTGTTGAGTGGGTGGCTCAGTCTAGGCTTGGCTTGGCTCGTAACTTGGCTTGGCGTCTCGTAGGGAAGGCAAGCTACGCAATGCGATGCCACAATTACATTTCCAGCATGGCACGGTAACCGTCCCCCGAACGGGCTTTTGAGTATGTTTGAGTTGCGGGATAACTCGAACAAGCAGCCGGAAAGGTGTGGAGCGCCATGACGGTGACGCTTACCACGCTGATTAGTTTTCGTACCAGACAAGCTCTTGGGCGCTTCTGGGCATCTTGGCTGCCTTGACCTTAGCTTTTGATCTAACTTTTGATTGCCTGACCTTGCCAAGGAAGGGACCGGCTTGATGCACCAAATGCGAGGCATGGCCCTAGACGCACGCTTGGCTGATCACTGCTCCGGACCATGGCGAGGTGAATGGTTCGACTCCGTTAGCTGCCTTCTTTCCTTTTCGAGGCAGGCATGTGTGACATGTGTGGTCCATGGCGTCGTGAATCCGGTGCCGTTTAGGTCACACGGATTGTGTTTTTGGAATGGCGGTTTCAGCTTCGATGTGCACTTTCCAGGCACGCTCTGTCTACGAAACCTGAGGACCGGGTTTCAGGGAAGCCAGTCCCCTGACACCTTGACTTCGAAGCTCAAGCAGGAACAGGATGTCAGTTCGGCCAACCTCTGCCACAATGCTTCTGCATACCTCCCTACATACAGCAAGGATGTCTCACGAACTTCGCAATGCTTTGTCCCGAAGCATACTACAGCTGGTGAGGGAGTGAACCTTCTGAGGTTCTGAGCTTAGGGTGGGCATGGCCGCATAGCATGTTTTTGGCAGGGCCGGGCCGTTTGATTTGCCTGGTGTTGGCGAGGAAGACACGTCT